TACAAGCTATTATTACAATTAGTAATAAACATGATTTTTCTATAAATAAATATCATCCAAATGCTAGTACACCAACACAAACTTATTCTGAATCATCACAAACATAATACATCAACAAACACAATTACCATTAAGCATGGATTCAATATTAGGTAGATTAATTTTATAGTTAAACTTTTTATAAATATTAATTTGAATAATAGTTATTCAATATTCAAAAATAAAATAACAATAAGAATATCTTTTTTTTAGTATCAAATATAAATTTAAATCGTCATCATTTGGGTGATAATTTTGATGAACGTATTCAACAACGACATCAAAGTTTTGTTGTTACTGCTGATAATCGTTATATAATATCAACTGGTTATTGGGATAAAAGTTTTCCTGTACAAAATACTGATGTAGCTAAAATTACACAAGTACTCTATGGTCATTTTGATATTGTTACATGTGTATGTCGTTCAGAAGTAACTATTGCTGGAAATTGTTTTCTTGCAACTGGTTCACGTGATTGTACAGTTTGTATTTGTATTTGGAATGGTACAAAAGGTGCAATAGTTGATCGTGAATATTCAAATCAAGGTTATAATTAAATTTTAAAAAGAAGTCAATATATTATAACTAGCGAGAGTCCGTGCATACACTGCACGGTTGTTTTCTCTTTTCACGTATAACTTAAGACGTTTAACTTTTCATTCAAGAACAGACATACAGACATTCGATATTATGTATGTACATAGATAGCCCTACGGTCTCATACTCTTATATCGTACGTATTTTTATAGTCCATGTAGCCTTCGGCCTTATAACTTTGTATTCCTTATTGCCTTAGTCTCTTGAAAATCTATGGCTATTCCTATATTATAGCTCTTCATGTCCTATAGATATACCATATAATAGCCCTTGGGGACCTATGGATTTCCCTATATAATAGCCCTTAAGGTCTTCCGCTTATAGAACTATTTAACTTTTAACCTTTAACTTTGGACCTGGGCACAGAGACGGCAGACAGACACTGAACAATATATATATATATATATAGATTTTTTTGTGTTTATATAGAAATCAATCCATCACCAGCAACAATTTTAACTGGTCATGATAGAGAAATAACATGTTTATGGATATCA